CAGTAACAGTCTTCGGAAACTGTATACACTATCAACTCAGTAGATTCAAAAGGCTCAAAAAGTATTAGTTATGACAAACCTTGATAATCTGTGCACATTTGGTGCTCTCATGTAGACCAATCATTGTTTCAGCTGAAACCTACCCAATCACAGAAGATGAATTACAGGTGGCCATAATTATAATCAAAATACAATGCCGATTTCTTGAGAAAAATATCTAAAGATAAATGAACTTACTATCTTGACATACGGGAAATCACTGTCAATACCAACAGTAGCTGCTAGTGCAGTTTTACCACTGTGAGAACAAAGTAAGTTAGAAACATTGTATAATAAAGATCAGATTAAGATGAACAATGATATATCACTTACCTGCCACGGGATCCTTCCAGGAGACAAGTGACAAGTGGGCTTCCTTTACTCACTTTAACTTGCTCCACAAGTAGCATTGCTCTTTGGTAAATGTGTTTATGACGATCACCACACTCCACCATGCCATGTAGTCTATAAATCAAATATCATAAAAATATGTTAACAATAACACAGCAAATTTGTTGGTTTCCACAATACTTCCAATAAACTTAGATTTCAATTATACCACATTCTTCATAAAACTAAATAATTACTTTTGAAAACAAGTAAAACATTATAAATCAGCATTAATTACAAAAACATTACAAAATTATTTGCGAATAACTATCCAGAAGCGAACTCACAAAATCTGCATTAATTTACTTATGGTCTTTGGGAAAATAGCTAAATTAAGTGCTTAAATAAGTTCTTATCATGTAATACTCACATAAAAGTTGTATTCATGATCGACGAGCAAATAAAGTTAAAGTGATTTCATTTAAAGTTATAAATTGATTTCACTAGGTATCCTGGAGAGCTTATTGAAATAAGTTTAACTACATGTTGGATTCCTAAAATTAAATCCGCATCTGTTTTAGAGCCACTTTCACAATTTTAGTGGATTTGATGCAGAAAAGTAAAGGAATACACATTTATGATGTCAATCCAAATACACTGTAAAACAACTTTTGCACATATCTATAGTTATTTTCATATGCTCTCCCAAATACTTATATTTATCAAGGGACATAACCTTTTTTATGCTTCACTTTATTTCAGGTGGATAAGAGGATACATAGCCTTTTTGCTATAATAATGGAGGCAAAAGTAGTAATAACCATGTAACTGAGTGTTTGTCACCAGATCAGCTATAGAATATGTTAGTGTCTGCTGTACTTGTTGCTTACGGTTAGATATTGTAACTTTGGCATTTCTATCAGCCTATTTCAGGATATACACAACTATGGCTATCAAGTAATTAGGATATCTATAATTGTTCCTTTATTTTAGTATATAACATAGACTTCATTACATAATCCACAGGTACTTTTCAAACAAAATCCTGGCAGGTAATTGATAAGTTTGATACCGTTTATAAAAGAAGTAGTAAGTAAATTTGTAATTACATAACTGTAGCATACTATTATAAATAGTCGCATCAGGAGGTGAGAAGGGAGTTTTTTTGGGGCTTTTGGAGGAAAAGGGGAACTAGGAGAGTTAGGGTCCTCTCGAAAGACCTTTGTTTTCTGGTATACTTTGTTGTTGTGTTCTGTTCCTAATAAAACATTCAAGAATCTAGGTATTTTTTGTAATTCTGGGTGTTCTATCAGTAATACACAGATTCTTTTAAACGGAATAGGCACCAAATAAGTACTGCCCATGTCTGCGCCACCATTGTCATTCCTAACCCCACCAAAGATGTTTGATCCACCTCTCATACATTCCTTACAAGTGCAGCACCATTTGTTGCATCCTCCTCCTGCTTTGGCAACACCACTTAATGTTGGGAACATTTTTGACTCACCTTTACCTCCAATTCTTGACCTCTTTGGCCCTTCCATCAAAGATTGATTTTCCAAATCCTCTTCAAAATGGTGTTTGCTCAACTTGTAATCCTTCAACCCTATATGACACTTTTATAATCATTTGTCCCCTTCTCATCATATATTCTTTTCGCTTTGTCATTTGTTCCTATTCCTAAAATTATAGGTGAAGTTTTCAATCACCTTAGTTGGAAGCAAGCAATATCTGATGACATTTGTGCACCCTAGAGCAAAGGTACCTTGGGACCTTGTTCCCCTTCCTTTAGAAAAACCCTTGGTTGGCTGTAGACCTAGTTTTCCACTATTAAAGGTGGGCCCACCGGGAAACAATGATTCCCCTAAAGGCCCCATTGTAGCCAGTTTCTATATAGGTATTATTGACATTAATTCCCCTTTAGTAAAAAGGTAATTTTCTCAAGTTTTTTTTGTTTCTTGATGTTATTTCTTATGACCAATTAAGATCTCATATTTGATTAAAAATATGTCAAATGAATATATTATATATATATTATATTATATATTTAATATATATATATATATATAATATAAGTATCACTTGACATTTTTTCCCTTTAGTGAAAATGTATTTTTCATCCAGTTTTTTTGTCTATTGTGTTGATTCGTATATGTACAAATTAGACAATCTCATATATTCGACTAAAAATATGGTCAAATTAATATATATAATATATGAATATATATAGATATATATATATATATAGATATATATATATTATATATTGATATAATGATCTCACTAAAGTTATACAGAGCAACCTCCTTGCGTTATTGCTCATGTGATTCTCTAAGATTATTATTAGTATATCATCTTTACAAATTTCTATATGGCCTCAAGAATTCCATTAGGGTATGGTTGGTAAATTCAGTACCATGGTTCAACAATTTATCATGACTAAGAATGAGGCTGACCATTCAATCTTCTACTGCCATTCCATTGTGAGATTATCTACTTGGTGGTATATTATGTTGACAGCAATGCTATAACTTGTTACAGGTAGATCACCAGCATCACAAATTAGAGGAACACCAATGTCAATACTTTCAAACAAAAGATTTTGGTAGATTCTGTTATTTCTTGAGGATTTAAGCTACACAGTCAAAGAGGGATATTGTCATCCCTTAAAGGTAGATGCAATTTTAGAGGAAACAAGACTGATTAATGCTAAGCCTGTTCACAATTCCATGAATCCAAATTCCAAACTTCTACCAGGTTAGAGGAGCCACTTCAAGACATAGAGAAGCACAAGCAACTGGTTAGAGAAACCAAATTTACCCTATTGTACCCGACCGAATCTCCCTTTAACATCAATGAGGTTAAGTCAAAAAAAAAAAAAAATA